GTTCCCCGTTGGGGCTATCCAACGCCGTTTACCGCTTGTCGCTATGTTGCGTGGTTCTCGAGATCTTAGGGGGGGCCAAAATGGCCCCCCCCCCCCAACCGGGCGCGTTGCTCGGCAGAGCCCAACGGGGCGCGGGCTAAGACACTATCTATTAGGGGAGCTAGTGAAAATTTGCAGCCATTTGCAGCCCTGGCATCCAGACACTTTTTTCTTCTATGAGTTGGCCCGTGACTTGGTGCACTTGAGCACAAGGGGTAAAATGCCCCAAAGGGTGTTTTCGCGATAGCTCAAAACACCCAGGCGATAGAGAGCTGTAACTTGGCATACCTGACCTTTGATGCAAGCTGGATCTTGTGACACCAACCGCACTTTCAAGTTAGGTCAGGTCACTGACCTATGACGTCATAAATGAACCTCTGCACGGTCCTTAGATGTCGCAGCTTTGCAACGCTCTCAGTGCCAGAGTAACTTTCACAGGGAGATGAGACTTGCAGGGCTTATTTTCCGCTAGAGGTCTTACAACTTTTATATCTCGAATTTTTCCTAAATGTCACATGAAGTCAGGTTGGTCACGTGACCACCCCATATAATATATAAGTCAATTCAAATTGGGAAATATGAAAGCTGTTATTTTGGCGCCAGGAATTATTTACAATTGTCTCAAGTACATGGAATCGTTATTTCATGCACTCCTTGTAAGATCTGATGCTTCATTTTTGCATTGTTGACCTTGCATGACGTCATTTCTGACGTCACTAGGGTCAAACGAGTTTTCCGTAAATAACTCCCGATCAAATTGAGGTAAAGAGTCGAAAAGGTCATCAATGGACTCCGGAAGACCGGCCAAATCGAGTGATGTGCGATATGACCTCCTTCGACCAACTTCGTGACATGAAGACCTCTGACCTGACCTTGACTCAAGGTCAGGTCAGAGGTCACCTTACGGTGGCCTCACCTGAACAAAAAGTATACCATTCGACGCGCCTGACCAAGGCGAACACGACGATGCCAAAATCGTGGTTCTGCGGCCATTTTTTGCGCAGTTATTTACCAAAAACCAAACCCGTTGCTTGGGTCACGTTATGAAATGGGGCCTTGCCGGCCGAGATTTACGCTGTTTCATGATATGTATAAATTGGTAGGGCATAAATGTTAGAATAAAAAATTGGTTTGGAAGCCATTTTCTACGAAGGTACACACCATTTCAATGGCTTACCCAGCTGATATCGTCATAAATTTCGACCTACCCTCAAAAGTATTCATGCGTTATTCGAGCGGCAATTAGGCAAATTGCAAGCTCGCCACAGAACACAAATCCTGAAAGAGATAGGGGAGAGCGGGGAGAGTTGTATCATGTCCAAGTTGTATCAGGGCGAATTGTGCCAAACTTATCCAATAGATAGCGCTCGTGACACGACCAGCCGACGAGGTTTTCCGAGCGCCATCTTTCCCTGTTCTGTCGTGTGGCTGGGTGGACGCGTCTCGAGGTGAGAGCCGATTTTATGTGTTTTTAATGTCATTCTAAAAATATGAGTTGCAAGAAAATGTGTGTTTTGGGCATTTAGATGTGCACGAATTTGAAAGATCTCCGTAGTGGTGGTGAGGGTAGGTTCTAAGGCTGCGTGAGTGAAAATGGATTTCTCCAGCTGTCCGCTGTTTTTTGAGCACGAGGATGTTTTTCCAAGATGGCGGCGAGGTACATGTTGTATCAGAGCCGGGTGGGGTATGTTGTAACATGTATGTATGTATGGGCATGTTGCTTTTGATCGCGAAAGCTAGGCCCTGTCTCGCGTTTGTAGGTAGCTAGTCAATACTCGTTCCATTTCGGCACAATGTGTTGGCTTCTTTGCTCTTAACGGGCCACTTTTGCACCTAGTCTGTTGATGTTTCGTTCGTTTCGATGCTTCGTTCGGATTGCATTGACCTAAGTTTGGTCTAATAAAAGTGAAGCCTTTGAGCATATACATTGTATTAACCCCATTTAATGTTGTTGTTATGTTCAAAACCAGTAGCAAGCACACTCCCTGAAACGTGAAATACCTAGTGATACAAATTGCCCCACCATGTGATACAACTCACCCAAGCCATGGGGCAAGTTGTATCAAAAACATTGTTCTATTCGGCAGACCGTATAAGAAAAACTGGTAGAGGTAGCGGAAAGTTACTTGGCACAAAAAAGCAGAAGAATCAAGGAAGGAGATAGTATGGAAATAATGAGTTTATCACGGATAGTTACGAGGTTATGGGTCTCGGAGTAAAAACTGATACAACCCATCCCAGTCTCCCCTAGTTCTTATTTAAAACATATGCTCATTAGATATTCAAGAAGGTTGCTCCTAAATATTGTAGTTCTAGCTTCAAAAACATGGATGTTATGAATGCCGATAAGTTTCGCGAGGCTACACCGGCCGGATCGCCCACTGTGCACTGGGGTCTGCGTATAACACGCCCTACTGGGGGGGGGCTCTTCATAGCCCCCCTCCCCTCCTAACTCCGAAACTACTGGGCCGATCGTCAGAATTCAAACGGTTTCTGATAGCCCTGGAAAACTGTCGAGCAAAACCTAATTTCATTGACCTCGAGGTCACCGATGACGTCACAGGTCAGGTCAAAGTAAAAATTATTAGCATTTTGACTTGTTCACATTTTGGGCTCTGGCCGCCGTCTTACAAGTCAGATCAGGCTCATTTTTTGTTTACACACTCGTGAACAGCCCTTGCCGACCTGGTCACCCACGACGGGAGGTCCCCGGATGGTTTCCGAGGCCGGTACTATTTAGAGTTTAGACAGCACTTTCCACGTGAAGAGTGTCCGCTGCTCGCCCCGTCAGTGCTATCATGCCCTCTACAACGCGACTTCGGTGTTCATTTCGCCGGCACCCCCACACCGTGTCCGGTCGGTCGGTTCTGCGCTGACACCGTTAGAGGCTTCAGTCGGTCGGTGGGTCGGCGCCACCAGCTGTTATTGGAGTGTGACGGCTGTCCTGGAGCGCGCACAGCACACCTGACCGGCGCGCCCACCCAGCCGAGGTGTCCTGCTGGCCGCAGCTGCTGTCCGCCAGACGGAACTCCGTATACCTAGTGAGGCCGCAGGGAAACTGTGTCAGGAGCCAGCCGTCCAGGCGCCAGTCAGCAGAGAGACGATCCGACACAGACGGTTCAGCGAAATGGAAGGGACGAAGCGGTGTATTGCCATGCAGGGATGGTCTGTGTTTTCCTTGTGGCTCCTCCCACAGCACTGTGGATAATTTGTTTGGTTCGGAGCAGCTCGGCTCCCGGGATGCGTCGCGGAGGTGGTTAGTACTTGGTACCGACCCGTTTTGTCACCATGGAACCGGCACCTGGTCGGCACCAACACCGGATATCTTGGTGTTGATGGCGAAGTCATGCTTTGCAGTTTGAGACAGGACTCGTGGACAGATTGAGCAGACGGTCGCGAGGTGTGGTAGATTCGAGGTGAATACGAAAATGGCCTTGCGTCAGAAGATAGATAGGTACCAAGAAGAAGGCGCGGCGGGACTGTGTTGCCCTCCCCCGCTTCCTGGAGTGCAGCGTGCGTGTTGCCACTGTCACTGCTGTCACTACCGTCATCACTGTCATTATTGTCACAATTCCTCCCACATCGTCTGAACCACCGATGCCCGATAATACTTTTGGACAGCGATCCGCTTAGCATATTCATGAGCTGCGACACGGGGATCTTTATGTAGGGCAGCAGGGAACCGACGCTCAGAGAACTTGACAAACAAACTCTAACGCTTCGAACTCTGCCCTGATGCATATCATAATAAGGTGATCAGGCTTGGTTCACCTCTACCTCACACTATAGCTGCTGGTATGTCAGTGGTTCTTACAACAGAGCCCGAACAAATAATTCATCTCGGCTCCACCTCAGGCCGATATGAATCACATTAAAGACATGCTGTCTGAGCTATGTCCGATTTTCCACCCGGTACTTAACTACTGTCCTGACCGCTGTTGGTCGACTATGAGCTCCCGCCCACTGTCAGTGGGTCAATACAGCATACACGGACAACTTTCAACGTGATAAATTCCACAAAACGCAGGCTGTTTGAAATAGACAAATACTATTTGTTAGAATTGTGTTTTTTCCGGAGCAACGGGAGCAGTCTTCGATAGGGGGTGTTTATCATATGTTTTAGCTGGCCAGCTAGGTTCAGCATTCTGTATGCACAATGCAGATGCCCGCTGCACGTACAAACAAGCGGTGCCCTTTAGACGTGACGGTGTCAAGTGTGCCATGGGTGTCCATTTCCGCAAAGTCGGGGGTGCCCGAGCTCTCCAAATTCCTCGCCGGCTCGGCCGGCTTGGCTTTGGAGCCTCAACAGACCGCGCGGGTCAAGGTCACCGCTAGGGCGGCGGCGGATTTGCTGCGCCCGGGCACCCCCAACTCGGTAGAAATCGACACCTATGTGTGGAACAGAAGCTAATAGAGATTCGACAGTTCTAGCATAAAAAATATTCAAAACACTAGCTTTGTTTATTAGTTTTGGGAGCTTTCGAAAGACACCAATATTTATAGCTACATTCGACAGTTCATTCTTTTAAATGGAGTAAATCCCGGACGAAACGATCTTGGCGACGAAAATGACAAAACGTCACTTCGAACCTAAGCAGCTAAGGTTGCCAGTCATCCCCGAGTGGCTGACGTGCAGTCGGTTTTTTAGCTGAGGTCCGTCAGCTCGGTCCCAAGTATAAGGTCTGACAGTTCGTCCTAAGCTGCTGACGAACAGTTGGTTCTTAGTAGCTGACGGACAGTCGGTTCTTAGTAGCTGAGTTATGTCAGCTAGGTCCCCTAAGTAGCTAAAGGGGGGCTGACAGTTTGTCTGAGTGGCTGAGCTGACGGACAGTTGGTCCTGAGTGGCTGGCAGCCTGTCCTGACTGGCCGACGGACAGTCTCTCCGGTCCTGATAAGCTGACGGACAGTCCCGCCCCGCGCCACCTTCCGCGCGCGGCGCGCCCGTACCAGTCGCCAGTCGCGGCGCAGGTGCGGCAGGCGGAGCTCCGTCACCATGGCACGTCTGGCGCTCTGGCTGGTGGCGGTGGCCGCCGTGGTGCCGCTGGTGCTGGCCGGTGGTGCAGACTCGCGTCGTGTGTCGGCTCGCACCCTGAGCGGCTTTCCGCAGCACTTTTTGCACCCGTTCATCAACTTCTGGGAGTTCCACTTGGATCCGGAGGACTTCCCGAAACTGGATGGGGTAAGCGAGGGTCGGTTTGTCCGCTTTTGTATTCAACAGTTCGTTTGCTGTGCTCAGTGTTTTATTACCGACTACTGTGATAAAGGTGCTACCAATATCCTGTTACACCATAGACTTCGGTATGTATGGGTCTATGGCTATTGGCTATATACTTAAGTTAGGTACATATCCTGCGCTATGGCTAGAGGCGTTGTAACTCCCCAGACAAGTTGTAAATGACCGTAACAAATGGTATATCAAACCAGTAGTAAGGCGCCTTTTAGGGCGACAAACAAGCGACCGTGAGGGTGAAAACATACACGTGCGGTGCACTGCGAGGGGACATTTGCAACTGACTTGTGCACGGCACCCTACTTGCCGGCCCCTTGCCGCGTGCCAAACTTGAACGCAATCAGCCCAGCCGTTCTCCATATTTGGAAGCGACTCCTGCACGTGCGCACGTGCAGTAGCACCCAAACTGTGACCGATGACACATGAAAATGCATCGCCCGGTGGGTACCTACCTCATGCAAAGTTTCAGCGCAATTGGCCCAGTTATGGCTAAGTAATGCAATTGTTACAAAACTGATACCTCTTCTCCTTCCATGTAGCACGAGCATTAGAGATCGACCACATGCCCTTCGGGAATACACTGAAAACAATTTAACCCAAGGCCCGCGAGTAAACCGGTATTTTGCGGGTACCCCTATATCCGCAACCATTTTTAACCACCCTCCCAGGAGTACAGTAAGGTCCCATTGCAGTGTAGTCGTCCCTGCTCTCAGCGGACTTGTTCGCTGACAGCGGTTATATCCGCTCAGAGCAAGTACGACTACACCGCAATGGGACCTAGCACTACTCCTGGGAGGGTGGTTAAAAATGGTTGCGGATAGGGGTACCCGTAAAACACCGGTTTACTCGCCAGCATTGGGTTAAATTGTTTTCAGTGTAGTTTAGGTAGAAGGGACGAAACTACTCTACAAAAAAACTGCGCCAATGAATCGATCCAGTGGTTGCATACTGCGGAGATATAAACCTCGCAGAAGCATAGGAAGAAAAAAAAAACACGTTCATGTGGGGCTCGAGAGTCGATCGAATCGAGCATCCTTCTTTATGTGTCTTGGCATCGAACTTCGAGGGAGATTTTTCCGGTCTGGATAACGCGTGTCTCCTGAACCGCTTTGGTCTGTGCTCGATTAAGTCCCGTTTTGTACAGGCTGATCTTTCATTCCTACTCAATGTATGTGCATTGCAGTGGGATCGACTGCCCCCCAACATATTGCCTTGCCCTAGCAGTCCCAAATAGAATCTCTCGACAGACATAGATGTACCCGCAGCGTTCGATCGTGTCACGGTATATAGAGAACTGATCGTGTGAATATTGTGAAGTCGGGGTTCACTGTCCGTACCCCTGTGCTTTGTAACCGCTTCTTGCAGCATACACCCACCGTTGACATGTTGGCACCATCGTGTTCTGCTTTATCGGACATCCGAAGGCTAGCGCTCATTCTCAGTGAACGTAAATGTGATATGCTGTCTTCATCGTCGTGTGCATATGCTGTGTCTTCTGGTTTACTCCATGATGTAAATGGGCTACTAGGCCTGCAGTAGGCTAGTGCAAGTACATAATACAGAACACAGAATATGCAGAATGCATATCTGACCTATAAAGTCAATACCTACTCTAAAGGCATCCAGAGTCCTCTGGATGCCTTTAGAGTATGCCTGACAGAACTGCCGTCAACATTTATGTTTTTGCAGAGAAGGCTTTTTAACCCTCGCCAGGCGAGGGCCTCTTTCATAACACGGACGGCGAAGGGGGGGGGGGGGTACGACCCCCTCGGTGATTGGCTCCTAGGGCACTTAGAAACGCCAAATTTACAGGGTAGGTCTCGCCATAGGATCCATAAGATATCTCGATCCATAGATCGATAGGAGATGTCGCCCTTTTGAAAATTTGGTGACTCTAAGTCAATATTTAGGGGGGTTTTGGGCATAGGCGGCGGAACGGGGGGGGGCACCGAGGCACCATGCCCCTCCTTGATTTTTCCATTTTAACCCGCGCACCGACGCGACGGGGGGGGGCGGTTATCGCCCCCCTCCCCCTGAGGTTTTTCGTGAATAGCGGGAAAACCGCGGCGCGTAGCGTCACGAAATTCAGTATGACTATTTTCTCATAAATTTTGCACATGATGTGCAAGTTTGAACCTTCTAACTTTAAAGGTCAGGTCACCAGGTCACTTTGAATGAACCAACCTCAAGTCACTTTTTGCAACTTTGTCGCCTTTGTCGCCGTGACGGACGCCTTTGAAAGTCGCAAGATGGCAAGATGCTATTAGGTCATTGGTAGTTATAATTTGTATATCTCGGAATTTTGATATCGGTGACCTAAGTTCAGGTCAATTTCTCGACTTCCTCATTATAACCCTCGCCGGACCTATTGGTTTTCTACATACGCGCCGGCCGGAGGGGTACGACCCCCCTCGCCGTTTCGCCCCTGGTGGAGCTAGCACGTCGCGGAAAAAAACGAGCGTGTGCGCCGTTACGAGACGCAGAGATTGGTACCCAATTTTAAGGTCCTAGGTCAACCGGTGACCTCTGAGGTCAGGTCAAGTGCCCCAAGGTATGGTTCAGTTTTTGGTGAATAACTTCGCAAAAAACGGCCACAGAGCCGCGATTTTGGCAGCATCGTGTTCGCCTTGCTCAGGCGCGTCGAATGATATACTTTTTGTTCGGGTCAGATCAACTTAGGGTGTTGACCTCAGGTTAAGGTCAGGTCAGCACCCCCAGGTCACGAAGTTGGTCGAAAGAGGTCATGTCGCATATCATTCGATTCGGCAGGTCTTCCTGAGTCCATTGGTGACTTTCCCGACTGACTCGCTTGCTCAATATGAGAGGGAGTTATTGACGAAAAACTAATATGACCTTGATTACGTCATAAATGACGTCACACAAGGTCAGCATTGCAAAAGTGACGCATCTTACCTTGCAAGGAGTGCATCAAATCACGATTCTGTGTGCTTGATATAGTTGGAGATCGTTCCCGGCGCCAGAATAGCAGTTTTCATTTTTCCCCATTGACTTATAATGGTGAGGTCACGAAAATGACCTGACCTCATATGACCTTTAGGAAAAATCTGAGATAAACAAGTTGTGAGACTCATAATGGATACTAGATCCTGCAAGTTTCATTTCCCTGTGACATCTCCTCTAGCAGTGAGGGCGTTGCGAAGTTGCGACATCTGAAGACCGTGCAGAGGTTCACTTATGACGTCATAGGTCAGTGACCTGACCTGACCCAAAAATGCGGTTGGTGTCAAAAGATCCTGCTTGAATCAAAGGTCAGGTATGCCAAGTTTCAGCTCTCTATCGCCAGCGTGTTTGGAGCTATCGCGAAAAAAAACCTATGGGGGCGGCACCCGCCCACCCACTCGGCCGGCGAGGGATAAGTCAACGCGGGAAAAATCAACTCCCTATATACCATCCATGACTTCATATACGAGCAACCTTCACTACCTTGAGGCCTGTTTTGCTGTTGTCTGTCAGCTGTCAGGCCTATAGCGTTGAAGATACAGAAAAACGTTTAATACATACAAGGTGTAGAATTACAAGGTGTAGCGAAAAAATCCAAAAAGTTGTTTGACTTTCGAAAACCCGGAACATATGTGATAGCCCTTACCGACTACTAATCACATGCCAAATTGTAGATCGATATTTCTCCTTTTGGCCAAGATATAGCGAAAAAACTGTTCAAAATTGATGACGTCAAATTTTCAAACTCATTTTTTAGCAATTCTAGACCACGTAGCGCAAAACAAAGTTCACCATTAGGCTCACCGTGACGAGCTGCATCGAATCAATACCCATTTTATGCAGCAATATCAACTTTGAAATTTGGCCTTTTTTGACCTGGCATTGACCTGACCTCCACCAGGAAGTGCCCCAACCATTCCTAATAGTCTTATAATCGATTAGTTTGAAATGAAAAATTGGCCATAAAACATACATCACACAGCCCTAGTAAAATTGGGTTCATGTGCTGACCCTTGGTGACCTGACCTGTGACCTGACCTGGTGTTATCAGTGACCTCTAATAGCAACATATGCACTAGGCAACTGACGCCCTATTGCTGATTTTCGATAAAATGCGTTTTATTCGATGTTATAGCGCATTCCCTAGAAGACCCGTGACCGGCAAAACATCTTATCTTTGACCTGACCTGCGACTTCATCAGTGAACCCGAGATCAATGAAATTAAATTTCCCAAGACAGATTTGACCATGGACTTTCGAACGACGTTTGAATTTTGTGGATCCGTCCAGTAGTTTCGGAGATACGAGGGGAGGCAAAAAATAGCCCCCCCCCCCCCCACCAGGTCGCGTTATAAACAGACCCCACCAGGGCGCGGGTTAACATTAGCCCTATGGGCGTTGCATGGAAAGAAAGGGACCGAAAGTCGGCAGTGCTCCCCCGCCCCTCCTTAATTGAAGGTGTTCCGCTGCTACTGGTTTTGGGGGGTATAAGTGCAAAAGTTTCGCTTAAAAATGTCATAAGTTTTTCGCTTATAACATTGTATCTAATAAAGATAGAGCAAAAAAAGAGTCCGTGCGCATCGAATGATATCCTTAATTTGTTACCAATTTTAGTGAACTTAGAATTGTCTTAGAATTATTAAAGTAATTAATCAAGTTTAGGTTAATCAAAATGCATTATATTGCATATCATTCGAATCGCCAGATCACAAGAAAATCAATGACACCATTTTTGAAGCTCCGGCCTCCATGTGTGCCAAGTTATTAGCAAAAACGTAGTTTGACCTTAGTTGACCTCAGTTGACCCGACCCAGGCGTTCTTGCAGCTTGCAAACACCAACTAGATGTCAATCAAGGTCAACCCGCCAACCCGGGTCGTTCAAGGTCAGGGCACCAGGTCACGTCAAGTGACCTTACCTAAGAAAAAGTGCCAATGCTATAGCTACTCGCTATAGCTACACCGACTGAACGATCGCAATTGATATTTA